TCTTTTGTCTCTCTTAAGTATCCAGCCATGAATGTCCTCTGACAACATGCATGGGGGAAAATTCCTTAAAGCAAAAGGGGAGCTCCTAAAAAAGCCCCAACATGTGTTCTCAGTAAACAATTTTCAGTTGCAAATATTAACAGTGTTCAGAAGAGCTGGCCTAAGCCTATTGCTGAAAATCAAAATATCTACTTTGCAAGATTCCACTGTCCTTGCCATAAGGTTTTTAATCAACTTTGTCAAATTCAGTTTTTCTGCAGGTGTGCAAGTGTTAGTCTGTACTTCACCTGTGGGGGGGGAAAATTGTTTCTTGTTGTTGTCAGGTTTCTTTGAAAGCCTTCTTTGGAAAGCCTGGTCCCTGGTTTGAAGAAGGAGATCTGGATGGTGACAAGACCTCAATATTCCATGATCTAGATGGCTCAGTGACTGACTACAAGGATACCTATGTGGGCAGAATGGATAATTATTTGATTCAACACCCGAAATGCATTAATATTACAGAGTGGAGTGGAGTGGTTTGCAGTGGAACCTATGCACAGGCTAGTACTCTTGGCTTTCCTCTTTTTCATTTCCTTTTGCACAGTGTCCAAAATTTCTTCTTTGTTTTCATCCTCTTTAATATCATACAGGTTTATGTCCAAACCTGGAATGGGCAGAATCTTTCCATGACTATTGTCAGAGATGAGTACCCAGCCAATCCCATGGTTCTTCGAGGTATTAATCAGAGAGCTGTCTTTCAACAATACCAGCCAGTAGTGATGCTTCAAAAGGGCTATACAATACATTGGAATGGAAAAGCTCCAAATGTCACCTATCTCTATCTCATTAACTTCAACAAGTATGTTTACTTCCTTTCATGTCTTTGATCCATCAGGCAATACTGAAGTTACGTACTGCATAATTAGTGCACGTGAGAGTTTGCAACCATTGATAAGACTGGAGCTTGGGTTGGTGAGGGCTTTTTGTAATTAAAAATACTGAAGTATGAAAAGTAAGAGATTAAGCAATAGACCTGCACCTGAAGTTACACATTTGTCCAATACGGTGTCTTTAAGAAAAAAACTTCTGGAGAAGAAAATGTACAAATAGCGACATTGAGTAGAATTTGAGTTGAATAGTTTAGCATGCTTGATTTTGTTGTCAGGTAAACTTATTAAATGTCTATAAAGTATAAAATCAAATATAATCTGAGAGAATCAGAATTACTGTAACATTTAATGAAAGACTGTGTAGAGAAAGAAAGAAGACTGTGTAGAGAGGTGTTCTGGTCCAGTAAGGCACAGGAAGGCTTGATCAATTTCCCCCAGTGTGCATTAAGACACAAACAAGGGCAAATACCAGTGAGTGAGATTTTATTATTCATCATATAAAAGAGAAGGAAAGGGCAAAAAAGCCAGAAACAGGAAAGGGGGAAGTAAGCAAGATTTGAGATGTAAAAGCGAAGAGAGTCACCACCATGGGTCCAGTGGTGTTCTGATGATCCGTAGTCTTTTCTTCAGTGGTGGGTGTGCACTTGCACAACCTGGATGATGGCCCTTTTTTTTTCTTCATATAGGGCTTTGCCAAGGCACTGGTTGGTCAGCTCCCCTTGAGTTGCTGGGTTAGTACATGGTGATTCCCAGTCCTGGCCCCTTGCAAATGTCCTTAGAAAGTTGCAGCTCAGTAGCAGCTCGAGATTTATGGTGGCCTGTTGTCTTGGCTAGAGATTTATGATTAACAGTGGAATCCTGTTATCTCCCGGAAAGGTTGCTGCAGTTAGAAGTTCACAGTGGCTTGTTACTTTCTGTGTTTTCAG